AGGGATGGGCAATAAATACTGCCTTAGCCAGCGATACCCTCATCCCGTGAATGAATAAAGAAGAATGAATGAATGAAGGATTATGGGGAGAAGGCAGGAGAGTGGCATGAAGTGAACTCCTCAGAGGCTGAAGGGCAACCTGAGAAACATTAAAAAAAACATGAAAAAGATGGATAAGGTAGATAATTGGAGTCTTTTTTTCCCCAGGGTGACAATGTCAAATATCAGGGGGCATTGGTTTAATGTGAGAGGGGAAACATTTAAACGAAATATGTGAGGCAAGATTTTTACACAGGTGGTAGGTGCCTGGAACTCACTGCCAGGGAGATGGTAGAAACAGATATGATAGCAATGTTTTAGTGGCGTTTAGACAGATACGTGAATGGGCCAGAAATAGAAGGAAGGGGCCACGTGCAGACAGATGGGAATTAGTTTAGAATGGAATCATGGTCAACATAGACATGACGGGCCAAAGGGCCTGTTCCTATGTTGTACTGTTCTATATTCTATTCAAAGCATCGATGCAGACATGACAGTCTAAAAGGCCTCCTTTTGTGGTGATAATTCTGTGACTTTATATACTGTACTCCTGAGCTGTAGAGGAATTTCCATGCTCAGTAAGGTCACTGTATGTTATTGAGTGAACTGTGTTTTGTAAGTTATGTGGTACTTAGCAGTTTTTACATTTGGGATCCTTCTCCTTGGGAATCTGAATAATATTAAACAGGGTCATTCCTTGGCTAGGTACACAATTTATGCTTGGGAGGGCAATGGTTTTGGGGAGTGTTCTTAGGCATGTGATAGTAATTGACCTGTGTGGGAGTCTTGCAAATCGGAAGTGCAAAGGATCTTGTTGGGGACAGGTCACTCGCGCTTTTAGTTCCAGCAAATTGGTGTGCCAGTGAAAATGAAATGTGAAATGATCTAGTGTGTTCTAAAATAAACAACCATCTGCTTTGCACATGTAAACTGCAGTAAGTTTGAGAAGTTGTCTGGAGCTTTAATTCAGGAAATCAGGATGCTGAAAAAATTGTCATATTGATCCAAACAGTAAATGGCCTGCAATTTGTATTCATTGCTGTCACATATGCTGTCATTCTAGCACGTTTCAGGCATCGTTCATGCACCAACAGTTACTTTTTTTAAAAAAGGAGCAATTTATATGCAACACAGCTTTTATTTTGACTATGTTCACATTAGAGTGGAAAGACACTAAGTTAAGTTAGTTAGATGTTTAGCAGGCCATGAATATGTATGCAGGGTGTGGAGCTGGGTTATTTGCTGTGTCTGATTTGAGAAGGACTATATGTGATGGGGAAAACCAGAATCTTAATATAGCTCGGACTGTGAGGAAGGAAATTAAAACTGGAAAATACAAACTGAACAGAGCAAACTTCACCACTGGGAACCAACCCAAATGGCACTTCATCTGTGTTTTCTGTATTTGAAACCAGGAGAGACCCAGTACAATTTTAAACAGTCACTTGGTATTAAGGAACTTGAGTGTTGCTGAAAAGAGAGACATACTGAAGGAGAAATGGCACTGATTGACCCTAAAATATAGGAGTAGATGTAGGCCATTCAGCCCATTGTGTCTGGTCTGCCATTCGATGTGATCATGGCTGATCTGATCATCCTCACCTCCAATTTCCTGCCTTATCCCCATACCCCTTGGAGCCCTTACTGACTTAAAAAGCCATCTATCTCAGCCTTGAATATACCTGACAAACCAACCTCTATTTCTCTGCAGTGAATAATTCCACAGATTGACTACCCTGGAAGAGAATTCTTTATCTCTGTCTTAAAGTGCAATCCCTTACTCTGAGATTATGCCCTCTACTCCTAGATTCTGTAAGAGCAAGTGACCGCTCCATGTCAATCTTGCATGCTTAGCTAGCAAGTGAAATTTCATTGGCTGAGATATTGCCATGGAGAAAATAACTGGGGAACTGTAAGATCTCTAAGCTCCCAAGTGATTCAACAAAAGTGTGAAGCATGAACATCTTCCTTTCGTGAGAACAGGTCTCTTTGTATAAACATATATTGCTTTCAGCATGCTTATGTTTAAGCCTTGTGCCTGTTCAAATTACCAGTAAATTAGAGAGCCTATAGTCCGTTGTCTTCTCTGTGGCAATATGAAGTCAATCAAAGTTGAGTTGCCAGCCAGTCAGGCACCTTTTTCTCTTGCAGTGTACGTTGTTGTAATGATTTGAAATTTGACAATCTTGCATTTTGTCTTGTCGGCAAGGTGTTTCTCATCTCAGCCAGATTTGAGATTGACGTTAGATGTCCTTCATCTGCCAACAAAATTTACATACTAAACATCAATCATGTTGCCTTATTACCAAAGGTTGCAGAATTGTTGATTCAATTCTCTCACTCTTGCTTGCAGGCTCTTTCTCTCTGCCCAAGGTCACTGTGTCCTGTATATCAGTCGCCACTTTTAAATAATGATTTTCCAGCTTCTGCTGAGTTGGCTGCTGTCAGTGGTATGGGCTCAGTGCTCTGTCGTGGGGATGGAAGAATATCTTTATTATTATCTTAACCTTTAGCACACGGGTTAAATCAGTAGCTGTATTTCACTTATGTCCCTTAACCAAACTAATGGATAGGCCACCCCTTACTAATGCAGTGCTGTCTATACCTGCCATGTGATTGGGGTGCCAACCTCTGTGGGTTTGAAACCCTGCTCATGCTAACTTGGCGCTAGCTTTGTGCAAACTTAATGTTACAGCTGTGGCAAAACACAGCAGAACAGAATTAATGCTCTTGATTCATCCTGTCAAATTGCTTTCACTGCCACCAGTAACTGACCAGTAACCACCATGCTTATTCACCTTATGTAACACAAATCAAATTCTCCAGGCACCAACCACTCTTGTTTAGGAGCATCGATTCTAACTGCACTGCTGAATGCTTTTCAAACTCGAGTGGACGGTGTATTTGAATATCACATTCCTTTTCATATTACCCACCACATTAACAGAACATCAAGGATAAAATAAAGCCTGTGGTTGAATCTCTGATCACAAAATTACTGCTGCCTGTAAATTCCCATCTATTCACTGGTATATTGTGTCTTAAGTCGCTGTGTATAAAAATTCTCCTAAATTTATTCTGTATTCTGAGCAACACTGGTATTCATGTATAGTATCCAGCCTCCAGTTTCGAGATATGCTTTTTCTATTTATCTTCACTCACAAGCAAAAGCTCACGAGTATTTCAAGACCAGTAGAGAATGCCAAAGCGACTGATTATTGAGGCAGCCTTTTGAGTGCTCAGGAAAATTTTCATCTTGGAGGAATGGCAACAAGTTCTGTAACTGACATTCTTTGTCAGTTTCCAGTACTTGCCTCCCTAAATGACATAGAATTCACAGATGATTGGCCCACCTGATCTGTGGCAGCCTTCATGCCCCACACATGTCCACTCATTGAACATTCTCTTGAATTGTTCTTAATCCATTCCTGAATGTGTCTAAGAATCTTAACTCGTCAGTTCGTACCCTTTTGCTCAATGTTCCAGTTTTTCTGTGACTGGTGTGACACCCTTCTGTAGAAAGGATGTTATTAAACTGGAAAAAGTGCAAAAAAGATTTACAAGGATTTTACTGAGACTGGAGGTTTTGAGCTATAGTCAGAGGCTGGATAGGCTTGGGCTGTTTTTGCCTGGAGCATAGGAGGCTGAGGGCTGGCCATATAGAAGTTTATAAAATCATAAGGCATAGACAAGATGAACAAACAAGGTCTTTTCCTCAGGATAGGGGGGGTCCAAAACTAGAGGGCACAGGTTTAAGGTGAGAGGAGAAAGATTTAAAAGAGACCTAGGGGGCAACTTTTTCACACAGGGTGGTGTGGAATGAGTTGCCAGCGGCAGTGGTAGCGGTGGGTACAGTTACAACGTTTAAAAGACATTATGGACAGGTATATGGATGGGAACAGTTTAGAGGGATATGGACTAAACTAACAAAAACAGCAATTGCTGAAAAAGCTCAGCAAGTCTGGCAGCATCTGTGAGGAGAAATCCCAGTCAACATTTCAGGCCACGTGACTATTTTGCAGAACGAGGCCAAATTAGTTCAGTTTAGGAAACATGGTTGGCATGGACGAGTTGGACTGAAGGGTCCATTTCCGTGCTGTATGACTCTGTCTTGTAGTTAATGTCATCTGTGACCCATTGTTCTCTGATCAAAAGTTTACAATTAAATGTATTGATAGCAAATCTATGTGCAAAAATTACCCTGAAAGTTGTCAAGAGAAATAATGATATTTTGGGGGAACTGGTGGTCAATATGGCAGCTTGACATGCATTTAACCAAACCAATGAGAACAGTGCCTGCTAGCAAGATTTTCATGAGAATCATAGAATCCCTACAGTGTGGGAGCTGGCCATTTTGCCCCATCAAGTACGCACTGACCCTCAGCACAGCATCCAACCCAGATCCACCCCATCCCTGTAACCCTGTATTTCCCATGACTGGTCTATCTAGCTGAGGGGCAATTTCCCATGACCAACCCATCTAACCTGCACGTTTTTGGACTGTGGGAGGAAACTGGAGCACCCGGAGGAACCCACGCATAGACGGTGAGAATATGTCAACGCCGCACAGACAAGTCGCCCGAGGATGGAATGGAACCTGGGTCCTTGGTGCTGTGAGGCAGCTGTGCTAACCACCGTGCCTGAAATGCTCACACCATTGCTGTATTGCCATCGATCAAATGTGGGACAGTTTATGTTGACTCTGCAACAGAGCAGTGAGGGTTGCCTGTCCATTGCACTGCAGTTAAGTGCAATTTTAAAAAGAATCTGTCCACCGGTAGCGATCAACCTGTTGAATTAAAACTTGTGCAAAGTTTGGAGAGACCAAAGGCACGAGTGTGTTTTCATAGTGAGAGCGCGGACGGGAAATGTTGAATAGTTACTTGCTATCTTCTTGGGTGTGCTGGGATGTTGTAGGCAAGTCGTCAGCCCGCTGAACCGAATGTGTTCTTTTTTTTCAGGAAACGAAAGTGAAACTCGCCCGGACGGGTTTTATGAATAGGGGAGGTGGAGCTTCTTTTTAATCAGTCAGCCAGTGTCTGGGGAGGCCTGTAAATCCCCACCCGGGAGAGCAAATCGTTCTCTCCATTGTGACCAAACAGGGCGGATCAGAAACAAAACTGAAACTGGGGCCTTGCTATAGGGACGGTTCAAAACAGCATCAAGCGCCGAGCAAGTGCAGCTTATTCTGCTTAAAAGCAAGTAGGATTCTTTTTGTGAAAACTGTGCTAGTTAGACTTTTAACTGATCAATTCAAAAGATAGGTGACTTGTCCATGAGAGGTGATTTACTTGTTTGGGGCTTGTTCCTAAGCGGAATGAACTGTACAGTGTGGGGCTTCTGGAATATCCTGTTCTGGGGATCAAGTTGTTTTGAAATCTTGGTGTGCCCTGCCGTGTTCAGTAAATTTTAGGCTGCCAAAAGTTCCAGGTCAGGATTCACCTGACTTTCACTAGCTAGGAATCTGGAATCTTGCTAATTTCCAGCAAGGAGACTCCAGACTAGAACCCACTACTCCCAACTCAGATCCTCCCCTCTCTGAAAAGATCTTGCTGTTCCAGGAGCGTATTCGATCGCAGGTACTCCTCAACATTGAAGCGTGTTTGTTTCGTAACTTGCAATTCATTTGGCACTGATGCATTTTGTTCAACCCTTCTGCTGAGCTGTTTGTTCCTGATTTGTTTCACTTAATCTCTGATCATCTAAATCTGTGCCTGCTCGCAGTGTTGTTTTAGATATTTTCTAATCAACCTGTTCAGGGATGTTATTAAACACCTCTGGAACAGGTAGGACTTGAACCCAAAGAACAGCACCTCAATTTCTGCTTGGGGACCCTGCAGCCTTCTGGTCTCAATATGGAGTTCAATAACTTCAGGGCTTGAGCTCTCCCATGTCCTTAACCCGACTCCCACACAGTTGGGTTGGTCATGGGAAATTGCCCCTCAGCTAGATAGACCAGTCAGGGTCACAGGGATGGGGTGGATCTGGGTTGGATGCTGTGCTGAGGGTCAGTGCGTACTTGATGGGGCAAAATGGCCAGCTCCCACACTGTAGGGATTCTATGATTCTCATGAAAATCTTGCTAGCAGGCACTGTTCTCATTGGTTTGGTTAAATGCATGTCAAGCTGCCATATTGACCACCAGTTCCCCCAAAATATCATTATTTCTCTTGACAACTTTCAGGGTAATTTTTGCACATAGATTTGCTATCAATACATTTAATTGTAAATTGTTATCAAAAAATCTGCTATTACACACAACCCATCGTTAGCCACTAATGGTTCCCATTAATAGCTATTCACCCTCCTAACCAGATCATTATCCACTCCTTTGTCTGTCCAACTGTTCTCTCTCTTTGGGCTCTATCTCTACCTAAGGTTTACTCCTTACCCCCTCCCTCAACCCTATTTTCTGCATTTAAACCAATATTTCCTAGCTACCATCAGTTCTAAGGGTCACCCAACTCAAAATGTTAATTTACACCCATTTTACACCACTCTTCCTCTTTCACAATCATTACTAACCTTTCGCACTGGGCCTCCACACCGTCGATTTCCTTTGCCTCTCTTCTACCTAGGTGTAATATATATTTTAAAATGTTTTGAAGTGTCATGATACCGGACTCAAAGCATTAACTCTGTTTCTCTCTCCACAGATGCTGCCAGACTTGCTGAGCTTTTCCAGCAATTTCTGTTTTTGAACCTGAGCCTTCTGACTCAGAGATAGAGACACTACCATGGCACCACAAGACCCCAAAAGCTGTTTTATTCTGTTTCAGTGTTGGCTTGTGCTTGCTTTGGCAACACGCAAGCAAAAATTGAAATGATACAGGGAGCTTCCTGGCACAAAACTACTTATAATTTTTTTTAAAATGTCAGGAACATGAAGCCAGTCAGCCTACCTTTCTTCTGTGCATTGGCTTTGGGTAATTATTGTAGAATATGTCCAGTGTGACCAGCCATTTGGCCCAGCTGATCTGATGCTGGTCTTTATGAGCCTCCTGACATGATCTCTATTTCATCTTCTACAAAAGTGAAAGCAAAATAGTGTGTGGATGCTGTACATCTGAAGCAGTCGTAAAATGTTGGAGAAGCTCAGCAGGTCTGGCAGCATCTATGGAGAGAGAAACAGAGTTAATGCTTTGAGTCCGGTATCATGACACTTCAAAACATTTTAAAATATATATTACACCTAGGTAGAAGAGAGGCAAAGGGAATCGACAGGGTGGAGGCCCAGTGCGAAAGGTTAGTAATGATTGTGAAAGAGGAAGAGTGGTGTAAAATGGGTGTAAATTAAGGTGTGAAAGGGAGAGAACGGGCCTGCTGTAGTGAGATCAAAGAGCTAATTCAATTCTCCCTAGAATGCCTCCCCTTAAAGACATGTATTTTGTTAGCCTCAGAAACTCCCTTTGGTAACACCATTCTCTGAGAAATAGAGTTTCTTCCTAATATCTGAGATAACAAGGTGTAGAGCTGGATGAACATAGCAGGCCAAGCAGCATCAGAGGAGTAGGAA